TTTCCAGTCCAACTTGTTTCACGACAGCAGCAATCCATTTCATCTTAGCCCCACTAGAACACACATTAACTCATTATTAAACACTATTTCTCCAAACTGAGGTTGTTTAAAAAGCTGTCTACAACAGGTAAGATATTGGGTGTTCAAAATGTTTCTATTAAACCTAACTTTAGAATATTTGAACAATAAGAAATGGCAAATGCAAAACTATTATTTGTATACCATTTTACCGTCATTACAGATGAGTCAACTTGTTGGATATATCCGGCTCGAAGGACCAAAAATGTTGGATAATTTAATTATCCTATCATCAACTCATTAAATAAATAAGCCATGCAAGGAAAACTTGAAGATCTTGTGACCCAGGTTTAATCTTGCAAGAAGAGCAGCAATTAAAAAGACAAGTATTCAAGATGTTCGCTACATCTCAAAGGTCTGCTAACAGAGAAAAAGTTAGCAAAAGCTTAAATACCCATTATCAGACAGAAGTGAGGTCAAGACAACCTCTGCTTCATAGCTTCACATCTCTTGAACGTGTCAGAGTTTATTAGTTATATTAGGCTCCTCTCTGAGTAGACAGAAAGACTCTCTTGTTTTCACATACATGGTTCTATATTAATTTGATATTAATAAGTGAAAAACATCCATGACCTTTACATCCTCCATCACAACTGTACTCACACATGGCTACTGTTCAGCTAGCATTAAAATGGCTAACTCAATGCCAAATTAAATATTTTATACAACATTTTTCACACCACATTTAAAGTGTCCCAATCAAGACTATGCACAACAGCCAAACGTTTAACTAATCACCCAAAACTTGCACAACATTTACATCTGGAACTCTTCACTCATTGTAGGCTGAAACATATGCACACAAACTTAATACTCACACAGAGTCGCTGACACACACAAGTGCTCGCCACACTTCTGCTCCACAGCTGCGCAAGAAGAGACAAATGTGAATAAATAACGCCTGTGGGTTTCAGTGTTTCAAGCAATAATTGTTCTCTACAACTGTACAATTTTCCATCCATATCTCCTATAAGGTGCTGGTCTGTAATGAGGGTCAACAAATTCACCATGGAAGAACAACTGCCTTTCCCGTCTTTTACAGAAATAGATACCAGAGTGACGGGAGTTAGGTTGAAGCGGTGGAGAAATAATCAGCAGTCGGGATAAACAGACAGACCACCTATATAGTTTCAGGTATGAGTTCTTATTTACCAGATTGGATAACATGTAAAAGAGCATTGATTGATACAGGTTGTACACAAAACTGGAGCGAAAAGCAAAAACTGTGCTGTGTATTGAACCAAACACCTGAAACTCGGCTCATATTAACCTTTATCAAGATCATCTGGATTTAAACTACTTTTGGTAAAAGCCAGATGACCACAAAACCAAATTAATTTATTTTAGAAATCAAGACAATAGATTTAGATATCAGTACATATTCTGTCTGGAACAAGTCCCTCTTGCAAATGAGTCCCCGTGGCTCATTGAGGCTAGCCTGTATTAATAAAGGTGGAATGAATGAAAAGTACATGTGAATTGCTCAGTTTTTCTTTTTAACATCAATAAAAGTAATAAGACCACGAAAGAACAGAATGAAAGGTTAATTATGAAATATGATGTTTGTATAATCTCTGTTAGAGGAAGCTTATTCTGAAGGACTTTGTGATCCTAAAGGTGAATATGGTATAAAAATGTTGAAACTTTAAAAACTCAAATTCATCTTGGGACTCATTTGAGAGTAGTCTATGGGTTGAAAATAAATTGTCAGCAGAAAATCCAAACATTTGTGTGCAGTAAAAAACATTTATTTATAGAAGGACAATAAATAAAGATAATGCAACATCTTTTGACAGCATTTCTTTTCTCATCTTTGTCTGAGTCTGGAAGGGGGGAGCTTTTCCCGCCATGCACTTTTTTTTTTAAACTGGGGACAAAAATCTGCGCAGGTCTCCAGTCAATAGAGAGAACACACAGCATTGAACGTTGAAAGTGTGGAAAGAAAAGTGAGCGTGGATTCCCGTTGACCCTCAGTGCAGACGAGCATAAATGCCCAGCATGGCACTGCAATCTTCCCTGCAGCTCACAGAAGAACTCCATCTTACAGACTCTTCTTTTCACTCCACCCTGCCGTCAGGCTGTCCCTTCCCAACACTCACAGAGAAACACTGTCCCCCCCACCCACCAGTTGATTTTCCACTGTCTCACGCTCTCCACAAACCTCTGCTAGCAGGTGCGTTACTCTGTGAGATCAACCTCGATCTACAACTGTCCGTAGAATAAAACTGTCAGCGATGAAGAAAAGAGGAGCATAAAAGGTACCGAAAGAGGAGGAGTGACAGCTTGGGCCTGAAAAAACAACAGCTGCAACAAACGTCCTGTCTTTAACGCATTTGTTTCATGCAGAGCAGGTTGGTTCACAGCATGCAAAGCATAAAATCCGCACCATCCTGAACTGCAACAACTACTCTCTGACAAGGAATGATCCAGTCTGACGACTGACTGAATCATCACTGCAGTCATTTTCTAAAGAAAATTAAAATACAAGTTTATAGAAACTGAAATCCATCTTCATAACCTGCTGCCAAGGTGGACAATCATATAATTTTATGTTTATTTGCAATAAAGTTAAGTCAGGTCCTCTAGATGGTTTGTTGAAACATTTCTTTCTTCATCCAAAGGACTTCATCAGTCTGAGGAGCCACAACTAACTCAGTCCCGCAAGAAGCACTCACACAAACATGATTAATGAGCATGAACTTTGATGTTTTGAACCACTTTGGCCATGGCTGCCTCAGAGGAGTCGATATGGGAGAGGGCGGACTCCAGCAACCATCTTATCACCAACAAACAAGTCCTTTGGATGAAAGACGAAATGTTTCAACAAAAAAATAAACCGTCCAGATGACCTGACTTTACTTTGTTGGATTTTTTTAAACCTGGATTATGTTTAGTTCCTTGTCTGTTTCTGTGTTAGTAAAATAGCTCATAATCCAAAGGACAGATTTTAACAAAACTCTCAGAGTAATCATTAGATCTACATCTACAACTGATTTACTTTAGTGAATTCAATTCAAGATGGTTGCTACAGCTAAGTGACATAGAAATCCCCAAAAAGTTAATAAATCAATCATATTTATGCATATCAAGCTAAAATTCATGCCAAACATGTCCTCCACTTGCTAACAGCTCATACAAAATCTTGTTTTGTTTGAGATCAAACATGGAAATGACAGATTGTTAAATAAATCTTAAGACACTGATTTGATTTTAAAACAATGTAGAACATGGTTTTGTTGTAAATCTATACTTTGTCCCTATAACATGGTATTAAAGTAGCCTTGATGAAGATCTTTGTCCAATTAGCAAGAGAACTGTCCACGATTGAAGGAAAAGTTTGTAGCACAACTTACAGCTTTTTGTGCGTTTTGTATATATATATATATATATATATATATATATATATATATATTTTTTTTTATTTTTTTTTTTATTATTATTATTTTTTTTTATTTAATTTAATTTTTAAAGTTAATCAGCGGTTTTCTATTTGCTGGACTCTGAGATACAAACACAGTCATGTGTAAATTATCAATAAATTGTTTGAAAGTGTAGAAAACTTGCACTCCACCTTAAAATGAGCTCTCATCACACCTGCATCAATCCAGTTACAACATGCAGGAACGCAATTTCCTAAAGTCGTCTCCAGGAAAAATGACCTGCAGGGAGCTTTGTGTGTGGCCAAAAACAGAGACTACAGATGCTGAAGGAACAACAAACTGCTTTTTAAGATTTTTAATATTGTGAACACTGTTCAACTATGAGCTGCGTCACTTCAGCCCAACTTTGAAATTTTACTCCAATGTTTAAAATCCATAAAACTTGTTAAAACACTTATATTGTGCTTGGAGTACTGCTGAAAACACAACATCTTATGAGGCTTTCTAATGCTGGGCTGCTCTTAAACATGGAAGTCATTTTTTATGTTTCACCACACTTCATATAATCACGTGTCTTAAAGTTTGTCGTTACTGGCTCGTTTTTTGTTGTTAGTTATTGGCTACCAGGAAATGAGGTCCCACTTCGTTTACTTAATGGGTGCCATTATGTAATGGAGGAGTGGTCTGCACTTTGCAGCAAACAGGTCCAGCTGTGCAGCAGGCCCATCAGTCCAGACGTTCAATTCTCATCACGTCACCGTCAGGTCACCACCTGTACCAAGACCTAACTCGACCCCCGGGCAGTAACCCAGACCCTCTTTTCTTTCTCTTGTAAATAAAGTTTTAATGGTTTACAAGCCTTCCAATAACCGTAATACCTTCAGAGTGAATTAGCTCGCAAAGCAGCCAGACATAAAGGCTGAACTGAATCAAGCTGGACACCAGCAAACATGTCTTCAACTGGATGGATGATATGATAAATGGAAATTTTGTATACACATTATCATAATTAAAGCCTTAGTAAGTTTTGAGCTGTTTATTAAAGTTTAAAATTTGACTATATAAGGCTCTGGAAAAAAAAAAGTATTACCATTATTTTGTCACTATAACACTGTTCTTTTAGAAGTTTATATATTGAATACCTGTATACGTGTATTGTACCTGTATTGTATACCTGGATTATTGAGCATGGACTTTGTTGTTTATATATTGAAGTTTGCAGGAAAAAAAAAACAACTTCTTCCACGGATGGCACACTCACCAGTATGCTGATTAGGGGTTGAACGACTACATATTTTTTAAAGTCGACTTGAAAAGTTGAGTCACTAGTCGCTATAACATCATAGGAACTCAAGACGCAATTCACAAAAAAACGTAATTTATTATTTACACACACACAAAAAACAACAACAAAACATCTCGAGCATGCTCCTACCATTTATCACACTGCAAATAAGTCACAGGAAAACCAAAACTATTATTACGATGCAAAAGTTGGTTTTATTTTATTTAATCCAGTAAATAAAATAAACCATCGCGGCGATGGTAGACGTGGTAGATTCTCCTCTGGCGGTGGTGCGCAGTGGTGGAGTCCCACCACCCCTGCTACCAGCAGTGGTGGATTGTAGCAGGGGTGGTGGGATTCCACCGTGGATTAAATAAAATAAAACTAAGAACAGCGGGACAGGTGGTGGCGGAATCCACCATAGGTGGTTGAACCGGAAAAGTTATCTTTAGTGAAATACTTGCACACTGTTGATGGATTTCTACCTGTTTGGCAAGACTTGTCCTGCTCCTTGCCTTCCATCTGCTTGGAAGAATCCGTTTTGTATCCAACGGCCTGATGCTGATCACGCGACACGATCACCGACTGTGACTAGTCGACGTGAAATTTAAAAACTCGAAAGATGTCATAGAATCGACTAGCTGACTAGTCTATTGAACCCCTAATGCTGACAAATAACAGTGTTAGGTGTTCTAGTAAATCCGCATGTGTCTGCGTTTTAATCAGCTTGTTGAGCTCAGATGTGGCTGATGAAGATTATTTAAAAGACTGCAAAAATGTACCTTATTTATCCAATTAACAATGAAGTGTGTCAGCACATGATGTTGGTGAGCCAGCCAACCAATCTCTGAGTCGAAACTTGGATTATTGCTCTGTTGCGAGCTGATTTACATGCTGCTGATGTCATCCTGTTGCTCTGAGTTGCCGAGGGAAACCTTTCTGTGGAGAACTTGTCTCCGAGCAGGCCTTCGGTGTAAAAAGTAGAATGCAACACGACAAAGAAATGACACTGACGGTTCTGGTTCGATAGAGTTTTGACTGTGTAAATATATACCTTTAAACTAAAGAGGGAAACCTTCATCTTGACATCAGGGAATTGTTCTGTAGATCTGAGCCCAGATGAGGAAAACAGTGATTGCTGGCATGAAATACAGAGGAGCCACAGCCTTGCATCTTATCTGATCATGCCTTGAAATGAGATGAAATTGTTTTTGCTTGTTTTGTCATGAGGACAAACTACTTCAGTCTTTAGGCTTCATATAAAGTTTTATATATATATATATAAA